GCTTCAGACACCCAGTTTGTCACCACTGAGTCATTCACAGCTGACTGGATTACATTCCTGATTGATCTGCTTTTTGGGCACGTTCTAAATGTGACGAGCTTCTGTTGTTCATGATGTTTTTATGCAGTTTTTTTTTTTCTTTTGTGTGTGTGTGTGTGTGTTTTCTGAGGTCATACTTGATGGAAGATGAATGACCAGACGTGTCCTCTGTGAGGAAGACTGTAGCCCCATTTTCAGGCAGTTTGTTTGGGAAAATGTGTTTGTTGGTGCTCTGACTGTCGCTCTGTAAATTTTAGTGTATGCAGTGAAGTTGGGTAATGTGCATCTCTTATCAGTATTAATAATATATCCGTGCCACTGAACTGCTTTCAGGGTTTATGCGGCGAAGAGATGATTTTGCACTACTCACGGGGTTCTCATAAATGCAAGATATTATTTCCTTTGTGTGTTTTTTTTTTTTAGGTTATTCATTACTTTTTCCACCTGTGGGGAGAAATGATTGTCAGCTGTACATGTCACACTTATCACAGTTACATAGAATAAGCAGATGAAGGCAGTGAATCAGTACATATAACACACATTTTAGTCTTCACGAGAACCTTTAGTTTCTTTAAACAGATAGATTTTTGTACAACTGTTTGGTCCAACTGCAATTTGTAGACAAGCATTCAGTGCCAACTAGGGGTACAACTAACAAGTTGTTTGATTGTCTTTCATTCTGTCAAATGTCTTGATAAATTGATATATTTTTAATCTACATAGTGTCAGACAATCTGATTATATTTATGAGAATATTAGCTCAGTATATTTACTCTTCATGCATGAAGATTTATTTTTACACCAGATTATATGAATTTTGACTCCTCCCTTAATGTGGTTTGTCCAGGTGAGAGCAGTAAAACTAAAATAATGAGACACATCTTGATGAATCTGGATAAAAGGAGGATGATTTCTCATTTAAAAAGGTAAAATCTTTTCATCTGTTTGGAGTCGGCGCTGTGGTTCGGTGGTGAGCACTGTGGCCTCACAGCAAGAAGGTTCAATTCTCAGCCCAGGCTCGTTCTGTGTGGAGTTTGCATGTTCTCCCTGAGGCAACGTGGGTTCTCTCCGGGTTCTCCGGCTTCCTCCCACAAGGTCCAAAAACATGTTGAGGTTAATTGGTGATTCTAAATTGTCCATAGGTGTGAATGTGAGTGGTTGTCTGTCTCTAAAGTGGTGTATAGATAATGGATGAATCAGTTTGTGTTATGCTGTTTCCTGTCCTGCCTGCTTTTCACCACAGCGTGCAAGTATAATACGGCCACTTCTCTCCTGACCCTGGTTTCAGGTGACAGCATAGCGGAGCCATCCCATGTCCTCACTGTAGGGATCAAGGGTTCATGTTTTTCCTTTATTCTTTACATTCTTCTAAATTTGTTTGGTACTTAGCCAACAGTTCAGTCAAGTCGTTAAAGTGTTGGTCCTGGTTGGATACTGGTTTGCGTCCTCTTCAGGCCCCTGTGCAAACCTGGTCATGACCTCACCATTCCAGCTGTATGGTCCAATATGAAGTTATTTTTGGCACAGAGCGTCAACCAGACAGACTAATTGGTGAATTTTCACTTGAATGAAAAAGACATCTACATAGAGCATTAAAGCACAAGTTTTTTTTTCCTGCATTTCTTTTGGATTTTTTTTCATTTAAATATAGAGATTTGTGTAGTGCATGGGCAGCCTCGGTGAGAATGAGTTGTACAGCACAGTTCAACAAAGCGTGACATTTTTTCCCCCTTGCCAGTACAGTTCATGTGAATGGTGTGGTAGGAGTGGAAGCTACAAGTATGGTGCCTTCATTTGGAGTCGTCTCGTGACTGTACGGTGACATTTGCACACTTTGTATGACTTAAACTTCTTGATATGTTGTAAAATGTTGGATATTTTTTGGGATGTTTTATTTTGAGCAAAAAAAGTATGAACATGCATTCGTGTAAAGTGGTCCTTGCTGTGTTATATTTGGTAGTCATTTGTGCACAGTGCCGTGTTTTATTAATGCAGATGGTGATGAGACTACAAAAAAAAAAAGATGATATATTTCTCAACCGATGTTTTCTAGCTCATGCGAGGCGCTGTAGTAGACAGAGAATCAGCAGATTTTTTGGTTTTTTATCTTTTATTGTAAATGCTCTGTGTCAAAGTCATCATATCATACTGAATAGGTTTTCTAACTTGTTCTCTCAGGTGATTTCTCAGTGGCCCAGAATGTTCTCAATGAATACAATGTTCAGAAATGTGAAGCAATGTTTTTTCTCATGTCATGTTTCTTAATCAGATTTAATTTGTACTGTTGAAATATTAAAGAAACAGATGTACGACTTAAGAGTTGTTATAGTGTTGACTTGCCAAATAAACTGTACAGTAGAAACCCGTTTGAGTTCAAGCTGGCAGACGACTCTAAAATACAATGTGGTGTGCTCTGCCAGTGTGGAAAGCCAGTACAGTTGCGACTCAATAATCCAACCCTAAACAAACCTTGCTATCTGACAGGTTTTTTTTTTATTTTATTTTTTTTTAGGAAAAACAAATGGAACCCATAAAAAATATCCTTAACATACCAACAGCCTTGGATTCCGACTCAGACATGACATTTTATGTCACAAATAAGGATAACTGCGTATTATCTGACTTAATCCGACAGATTGGCTGCGTTCAGACTGCAGGAATTCATGCTCAATTCGAATTTTTTTGTGAAATCTGATTTTTTTGTGAGTTTGTTCACATTTCCAATTAAATGCGACTTGTATGTGATCTGCTGTGTGAACTTCATACGACCCAAAAGTGTCCCACATGCGCAGAAGAGGACACAATGACGTCACGCAATGAGCGTGTTTGAGAAAGTAAACATGGATGGTAATGGTGGAGCGTAGCTGCCACTCCCTCGCTACCGATGGTGGAAACAGAACAGTGACCACTAACTAAACTGGCATCAGCAGCCAAGAACTGCCTGTGTGCTCCGGCCACTTCCACTCCAGGGGTGCGCTCTGATGGGGTAGAATTAGCCGGAATGTGCACAATAGATATTAACAACAAACTACCCTTCACGCATCAACCTCCTTGTATCTCGATCTCTGTCTTGACAATCCTACAGCCTTGCTATCCGACATAAAAGAGGGTTTTACATTTAGTGGCGGATTATCGAGTCACGACTGTATATACTACTCTGAATCCCAAGCAGTTTTGCAGCACTGTGGGCTGACTTTTGATTGCAACATAAAATCCTGCACCTCTAAGGAAACATCATAATCATTGCTAGAAGTAGAGAGCGCTCCAGAATGTGTTTTGTGCAGGATGACACAGTATCAATGTCAAAAAGAAAAAAATAAATAGATGCTTTTTTTTTTTTTTTGCACAAACTCCCCTACAAATCATCTTGCATATGATTTTTCCAAGCACCAATAGGTGTTTGCAATACTGGAAGAACCAGGCTCAGGGAAGGCGGCCATCTGCCTCAACCAGTTGGGTGAGAGTGGGGATGAGGGGTAGGGAAAACAGGACAGCAGATGGAGAGCAGCAATAGAATGGAACAATAAATATGAAGCATTTTGGGAGTCGGTGAGGCTAGTGGCTGCAGATCAGAGACGTGAAGCTTCAGATCCAGAGACGTCCACAGAGAGAACAAGCACAGGACCTCAGGGAAAACACAGAGTTAGTGACATGTAGTGGTGGTTATAACTGTATGGAAGGAAGAGAGAGGAGAGAGGAGCTCAGTATGTCATTAGAATCCCCCGGTAGTCTAAACCTGTAGCAGCATAACTAAGGGACAGTTCAGGTGATCCTGAGCAGCCCTAACTATAAGCTGTATCAAAGAGGAACGTTTTAATCCTAACCTTAAAAGTAGAGAGGGTGTCTGCCTCCTGAACCCAAACTGGGAGCTGATTCCACAAGAGAGGAGCTGATAACTGAAGGCTCTGCCTCCCATTCTACTTGTGGAAACTCTGGAACCACAAGTAGACCTGCAGTCTGAGAGCGAAGGGCTCTGTTAGGATGATACGGTACAATAAGGTTTTTAAGGTCAAATGGAGCTGGTCATTGAGAGTTTTATGTGTTAAAAGCAGGATTTTAAATTCTATTTTGGATTTTACAGGGAGCCAATGAAGAGAAGCTGATACGGGAGAAGGTGGAGTTAATGTGACGGACTGGGAGCCAACACACCCTAAAGCTGTGGTCACCAAGTTGTTGGCAGCTTGTAGTAAAGTAAACCGAATGCTTTGATGTGAACAGAATAAAAAGACCTGATAATTCACATCATGATTATATTATTATATATTATTATCATATCATTACTGAGTGGTTTCAGCACAGAAAGTTTCCCTCTGTGTAACTACCCAGCTCGTGTTAACAGCCTCTTAACAGCATCCATTTGGCGTGTCTTGAATGAGCGTCTTGAAAGTCCACTCCCACCTGCTGCCTCCTCACCTTTCATCACTGCTGGCCTCTCAGAGCCCAGCCCTGCTCCATCCAGTAACTACACCAGTGTTCATACGGGATAATACGATGTGTATGGAGTCATATCTTGTTAATATGCTTCCTCTCTGCTTCCACTTCTGTTCATTTTCACCTTCAGGCTCAGGAGCAAACCTCCTTTTAAGGGGTAGGAAAGGAATAACCAACAAAACAAAGATGGTGTTGTTTATAATAGTCATCCAGGGAGGAGATTTTAAGGGGTGGATTAGAGGTCAGATATAATATTTCTGGTGCTGCTGAGCCCATTGGTCAGTAAGAACATCGACTTCCATAATGAGAAAGCTGGGGTTTCCTTTGCCCATGGGGAATGCAATATATACCAACTTATAATGCCAGAAACTGAGCTGCTATCCAAACCTGTTGCTCCCCTCTGTTTCCATCTGCAGCCAAAAGGTGAGGAAACTCTTTTTTTGTTTGCTGCCACTGATTTGTTTGCACATTTGTGGCTTTTATGCACACTTTCTGGTCCTGTCATTGCACAGTTCCAAACAGTAAATAAGGTTTTTGGTGGTTTTAGTTATAAAACGTCTACCTGGGGCTAGCTCATTGGAAGAGGAACCTTTGATTGGTTAATTTAGGGGTGGAAGTGGTCATTGCTGCGGTGTGAAGAGGTGTGTTGTTGTAAACCAACTCTAATTTTGGAAAGTGATAGTCCCAGAGTATATCGCTGTGTCATCTGAGATTTGATGTGTCAGAGGTCAGTCTGATCTGGTGCTTAACGTGACGGATTTGTTTAATGAGATCGTCTTAAACATCATGCTTCACACAGATTTGCACACTCGCTGCATGCATACAATCAAGACTCCAGTGCAGTATGTGTTGATCACTAGATATATTAATATATAATGACTAAAGGGTGTAAAACAGCTAAGATCTGGTTTTGTTTTGTGCTGCCTGTGTGTAGAATTTAACTGAGGACTGCGTTAACGGTAGCTGGCATTTTGTGTTCAGGAGCTTGGACTCGCCAAAAACAGGTGTTTCCTCTGATATGTGAATACTTATTTAGACCAATTAGACCATCATATGACACTAAAACTCAAGAAGCAGAAAGAAATGGATATTATTTTAGCCATAACTGCCTGACATGGTGATGCCACCTAACTCTGAGAGACACTTCTGTTTTCAAGGGTTCATTTAAACAAATGGAAAATGTGTTCGGTTGAGTGAAAAAAAAGTGAGATGTCTTTGCTGCTGTGTCTGTTGCTGCAATCAGCAAAGAACTAGCTGATCCTGACGGGTATATGATATTTAGTTGAAGAGGAAGTTCAGTCATCCCTCAGTAGGACTGAGACTTGAGATCTAACATGTGAGAATATGTAGCACTTTAAATAATTAAAAAAAAAAAAAAACACTACACCAGTACTCAGTCTAAATGTTATACTTAGAACATTTATGTTAAAATGCTGTGTATGTCTTAGTGGTACATTTTTCTTATAAGTAAATCAGTGAAAACAAATATAAGTCTCCTGTAAAATATCCCACAAACCGGTTATTCTGGTTTTGTTTGTAATTTCTAAGTAATCTTGGTGTATTGATAGTAAAGATACACCCACAAGTTTTCACATTTCTTTTAAATGTTCATTCTTCTTTGTTATTCCACTAAAAATATCTGCACAGACTCACATCACGCTCTGCTTTGGTGATAGCACGCTCAGTGTTAATGGACTCAGAAGTTTAAGGACTTCTGTTTGGATGCAGAGATCTGGATTGTTCTGCTCAGCGTCTATTTTCAGGGGTCGTGTCTGAGATGTTTGTATCAACAGCAGAGGTATCAGGTGCTTTCTGATAATCTTCCAGAAGACAGACCTTTCATGAGAAGGGTGCCCGAGGGAGGACAACTGGACCCCAGATCTTTGTCCTAATTTAGCCATGGGGCTTTTCCTTGAGGTGGACAGTTGATGCTAAACTCAGTGTCGTGTTACTTCTAAGTGGAGTTATTATTCCCATAAGACCAGACAGAAGCATTCTGGGACTGTTCTTCAGCGTGATGATTTTTCTGTGATGCTGAAAATATGTAGTACAATACAACCATCTGTCTGTCCCTTTGTCTTTGTGCACTCACCTGTTATTACTTCCAAATGGAAAACCTCATGTTTTTCAAACAGGGTTTTAAAGTCAAGCAAACGCCAAGATGTCGGAGTAAGTAATTCACTGTCCTATGTTTCTATGAATTCATGAAATGTCATCAAACATTGCAAACTTAGAAGGAACATATGTGGTGTTTTTAAAGTACATTCACAAATATATTTTTTTTTTACTCAGGAAAAAGATGTCTTCAAGTCGTAAGCATCATCTGAAGGTAAAAGACTGCTTCATTTGTTTTACAATGTTCTATAAAGCAAAGAAAACTGTGTTTACTGAGGAACAATCAGTAAATACTTTATTCAGAAGAACATTGCCACTAAAAACTGTCTTAATATGTGATGTTCCCTGCCTGTTTTGTTTTTTTTCTTTGACAGAGTTTGATGCTGTCCATTGCCAAAGGTTTACTAGAGGAGGAAGAGAGGGAGAGGGAGCAGGAAAAGACGAGGTACATGGCAGAGAGCTGTCCTCCTCCATCGATGCCCAGAAGCATGCAGGAGCTGCAGGTCTGTCACAAAGCAACACCAACACCAACATTTATGTGCTGACGATGAACATGTACACATTTTTTGGTTCTTTGCTTAAGTATATTTGATTTTAAATGAGATGATGAATACTGTGTCAGAAGCTCAACTTTAATTTGAGTAAATTTTATCAACATGAAACAAGAACAGTTTGAGAAATTTCTCTCTTTTACCACACAGTGTCCAAAATGAGACAATATGGAATCAAACCAAAAAGTAATTTTTAGTCAAAATACGTTGCAGTCGAACACTGCTTGAGTCCAATGAGTTGCAATAATCCTGCTTCTGTCAGCAGTGAATTCCACTGGCAGCTGCACATGCCTGAGCTATTTGTCCATGTTTTCCTCTTCACACAATTTTGATAGAGGTTTATATTTGTCTCATTAGTCCATGGAATCCTCATGCTGACACCGTCCCCTCCTCCATCTCTCTACTCTGAATTATCCCCGATGTGAGATCTGAATTAATGGCTCATAGCTCCCCAATAAACATTAAGTAACAAAGTTTTTTTTATCACTTTTAATCTTGTGAATTTGAACATAATGTGTTAAAAGAGCCTCGGCTCCAAATTTAATTTGATAATTTAATGTTTGATCCATTATTTTATTTCTATTAGTATATGCTGAACCACTCTGAAGAACATAAACATGTGTTTGTCCAATATCAAATTTTCACTACAAGGTTGTCATGGCCAAAATAATTTACAGTAATGACATTATCGTATCATAAAACAAATTCTGTCAGTCAAATTCATATTTGTCTGTTGGATGTTTTGCCCCCTTATGGCAAATTAATTACACTGAAAACACAAGAAGGTGGAGAGAGTGTGCAACCACAACTGGACTGTATACTGTTCCAATGCTGGAGTGTCATTCAGATAATTACTGTGCTGGATTATATCTGATATTATGATATGTGTGTTTATTACAAATATTAACATTTCATTTTTAAAATATCACGGTTATCATTAGTACCAGTATATCGCGACACCGTTACTCTGAACAGGACTGGACTCTCCTATATGTGCTGTAATGCGCAGCTCAGTATAATATTTGTTACAGGAGTCACAGTGCAAAGACATAATGCACAGTTTAACCACACGTTTGTGTTTGTGTTCAGGAGCTGTGCAGGGAGATTCACCACAAAATCGATGTGATCGATGAGGAGCGATATGACCTGGAGATAAAAATCGGCAAAGCCAACAAGGAGGTAGATAATAACGCATGTCGAACCCTCAGAGTGTTTGTCATTATGAACTTGGGCTGTGCTTCCAAACAATGATCCAACTATTATGGCTGGCTTTATTTATTTATTTAAATTTTCCACAGGTAGTCAGCATATTGTGTTAAACTTTGCTTAAATGTGTAAAAAAAAAACCCTCAAAATATAATGCTGTTGCTCAGGGGTCAAGCTCTTTAGATAATAATGACCCCAAAGCTTTGACTGTACTCCCTCCCCCATGACAAACAATTTTAGCTCAATTTTTACCGGTTAAGGCTATAAGGGACATTAGGGTCATAGGGGATATGTTTTGTTCTACCCAACACTTTTATATTCCAAGTCCAAAAGAGAATTAGCAAACCCAACAATATTCACTTTTCAGTTTGTGTTTTTTCTCTGATATGACCTTCCTGATGACTACTCATCAGACTGGGCTGAAGCTATTTGCTGTGAAGTTTCATCATAGCCTCTGCATTCCACTTTCCCAGATTGACGACCTGAAGATCAAAGTTCAGGACCTGATGGGCAAATTCAAGAAGCCTGTCCTGAAGAAAGTGCGTATGTCCGCTGACGCCATGCTGAAAGCTCTGCTGGGCTCCAAACACACAGTAAACCTGGACCTGAGGGCCAACCTGAAGCAGGTCAAGAAGGAGGTGAAAGAGGAGGTGAGTTATGCATGTTATAAATCTGTGTGCTTGACAGAAGCAGCCAGTAATGTCTGAGTTAGCAGGCAGTGTCCTGTGGATAAAGTGATGTGCAAAACAAAGTGGCTACAACACAAAGACCTTATGTTTTTAGTGACCTTATGCACATGACAGCTTTTCTTTTTTATTTCATTCCACTTCACAAAAAATCCACAAAGCAAACAAACACATAAACATATCTGACGTGAGGCCTGGATTAATACAACATTCCTCCCACCATATTCTTTTAAACGTTAGAGCCCAACAGATGCACTTTGAGTCCAAGTTCACATCTCTTCACCTTGGTTTGCAGATTGCTGATAAAGTACTTTTTGTAGAAAAGTGTTGCACATAGCAAATAAAACCGTGATGACCATGTTGCTCATGAACTTGTCATTGCATTGATGTTAATATCTGTTCAGTGTTATCGTTCCATGTTAATATCATATCACAAGAGTGGAACAAGAGCTTTTTAATTAGTCTTGATACATTCATGTACATACCAAAGTAACCATGTAAAGAGGACAGATCAAACTTCTGTAAAGTATTATCTTTACTAATGTCTTTGTTTTTACACTCCTGCTTCTTGGTCTAATAAGTCACAAAATCCCTATCATTCCACTATGTACCACATATTAAAATACACAACAGCAGTATAAGTTGTTTCCCTCCAGCAGGTTGTTGTGTGATCTGGTTTTGAAATTACAGCAAATGTCTGTATTGCCTCATTACATCCCACTTTGTCTAAAAAATAAACAGATAATAATGGCTTTGGTCTTCAGTGCAATGATTCAAAAGTTAGTTGTGATCAAACAACCGACGTACATCAGTCGCGGGGTCCCCAGGGATGCTACTGATGGACCTCTATTTACATACAGCATCTGGGACCATTTGATTCACTCATTAGGCTCCACAAATGTTAAACTGGGAAAATCTATGGAGTTCAGCACAGATCTGAAAAACCAACTCATTGACCTGATTTTTCTTTTACATCAACATTAGCTAAGAGGCTGTCATGCATGTCTAGCACTTTCTTTAGCAAGGGATCAAAGTCTGCTGCTGATCATAAGGACAAAGAAAAAGCCTTCTGGTGAAAAGTTCTGTGGTCAAATGAAATAAAAACGTAGCTATTTGGCCACAATGACCAGAACTATGTTTGGAGGAGAGAAACTGAGGCCCTGAAGCCCAAGATCACCGAACTTACTGTCAAGCATGTATTATGCTCTGGGGCTGTTTTGGTGCCAGTGGAACTGGTGCTTTACACAGAGTAAATGAAATAATGGAGGATTACCTCAACAATCTTTAGGAAAACCTGAAAGAAGAAAATGGCCAAGAGACATTTAACCAAATATTAGCATTGCCGTATGCATTTCGTGTTCTATTGTGGTCACTCCTTTCTCATCAGTTCACTGTAAATTTATATATTTTTTGCTCTACTAACAAGGGCTTGTGCTTCTTGTACATGCTGGTTTCACTTAAATTAACATTTTGGTTAAGTTAAAGTTTAAAATATTTTTTTAAAAACAAGTCATTTATAATTTGCTTTTATTATGGTCCAGTTTTCTAGCCGCTCATCAATATGTGTCTTACTCTACGTCTGATTTATAAAAGCTAGAGTCTGGTATGTCCTTACTCAAAGGTAAGGAGGATTACTTGACCAGTCATTGTGTACTTGAGTATTTGGCTCAGCTTACACTCCAAATCCCTGATTTAATGATGCAGTTTGATGAAACCATGCCTGACCGTGCTCTGATTGTTTGGTATTTCAGGATAAGGAACTCCGTGACGTTGGTGATTGGCGCAAAAACATTGAAGACAAATCCGGCATGGATGGAAGGAAGAAGATGTTTGAGGCTGAGGCTTAAAATAAGCACCAAGGGCGTTTTTAGTCTGACTTTGACTAGATTGGACTGGTTTAACTCCTGGTTAGATTGCACAAATTAATTTTTTGACCACCTTGTAAACTGTAGAAACTTCAACTGAATAAACAAACAGCATCTGCTGAAGGACCTGTTTTGTCTTGCTTATTGGAATACCTATCAGATCATAGAAAAAAGTAGTGTTTGGTTTAATAGTTCTCTTATATCAATACTTAGAGTTTAAGAGGAAAAAAAAAAAGAAATCTTTTTGGTAAGAACACTGTATTTAGTCACAGTCTAAAACAAGACTCCTAAATAACATGTGAATGTTATGATATCTGACATTTAGTACTCAGAAATTCAAATGTATTTACTTTAGGGATGATTGTTGCAAGCCCTGGTTCGACATGGTGCCTGATTCTGCTGGTGTTAAGAGATTAAATGGCTGAAATACAGGCCTGCACTGAAAAAATAAATAAATAAATTATATATATATATATATTATAAAAGAATAAAATAAAACTTCATGCAGTTCAGTCTGAACACAAGGAGCAGCCAGGTGCAGTCATTTGACCGTAAGGCATAACGGCTTGTATTTGTAACTGATAGCCAGCTCTAGTGCTTTACCTTGGACAGTTGTGATTGAGGGGATATTCTCCGGGTGAACTGATGAAGTTGAGTAAAGCATCACTTTGGATTTTTCAGCATTTAAACCAGTTTGAGGTTCTGCAAACGAGTCTGTGCTACATCAAAGGTGGACTGCAATGATTTGAATGCATGTGCAATCGAGTATGAACAGCAATAAAATACACAGTCATCTGCATAAAGGTGAAATGAGGCATTTGATAGTTTTGTACATAAATCATTTATGTAGATTGTGACCAGAATGGGTCCTAAGATTGAGCCTTGAGGTACCCTTTTTGTGACCTCAAGAAAGCTGGAGCGAACCCCACCCTTCTGAACACACTGCATTCTACCTGCCAGATAATCTGCAAACCAAGTGGTGGCCTGTTTGGAGAGTCCAGTCTTATGAAGAGTTTGTAACAGGAGACTGTGGTCCACAGTGTCAAATGCCTTGGACAGATCCATGAACAGGGCTTCATGAGACTTGTTGGAATCCAGTGCCTCAAACACATCATTAAAAATTTTTAGAGCAGCAGTAACAGGACTGTGCTGCTTCCTAAAACCTGACTGAAGGAGGTTTAAAATGTTGTTTGAATCTGAAAAGTCCTTCAATTAATCACAGACCAATTTTTTGAATACTTTTGCCAGAATGCATCATTTAGAAATTGGCCTGTAGTTATTCACGAATGAGGGTTCGCCACCTTTTGACAATGGGAGGACGAACGCAGATTTCTACAAATTGGGAAGTTTGAATGTGTTGAGGCTTAAATTGAAAATACATGTTAAAGACTCAGCAATCAAGCCAGCAGCCAGCTTAAGGAAGAACAGTTCCAAATCATCGGGACCAGCTGATTTTTTTGGAGTCCAACTTTTTTAATAGACTACAAACTTCCGATGTAGACACAGGTAGAAAATTAAAAGAACGATCGACCATGTGACTGCTGACAATAGCAGGTTCATTATGCATGGCAGACTTTTTGAAATCACTGCTCAATGAATCAGACATGTATCCTGCTGTGATAAAGTGGTCACTGAAATAATTTAGCATGGCGCTTTTATCAGTCCCAGAAACAGATCTCACAACTTTCCAGAACTTCTTGGGATCATTTAGATTTTTGGTGGTTTCAGATATATAATAGTCAGATTTGGCCTTCTTAATTAGGAAGGTACATTTATTGCATAACTGATGAAAGATAATCCCATCATCCTCTGTTTTTTGTTTTACATGCCTTGGCCCAGACATGATCTCTTTCTTTGCTGATTGATTGTGGTAGTGTCCACGTAAGCTACATTTTCAAGTGCAATTCTGAAACAACAAGCACAGCAAAGCTTTCAGTGTGGTCCAAAATAAAACTAAAGATCAGTACATGACACCACCAGCTTATGTGGACATGTGTGTGTCGCTGACAGAATCACTTTCATGTGACCGTGACATCATGTACCAGTCCTTAGTGCATTCTGCAAACACCAGCAGGCAGCTTGTCTGCAACTGACAACTAGATAGCTACATGTATTTTACTGTTTGTATGTAGCAAATAAATACAATTAAATGTAAAAAAAAAAAAATGTAGCCTCTGATGTAATAAACTACTTTCAGTCATGCTAATAAAGCTTAGCTTGTGACATGTCAACCACAAGGTAGCCCCATTTTAAAACCCACCCTTTTTTATCATGTACCTCCTTCTAAATGGGACCATACTTTCCAAAATGAACATCATGCTTTATTGAAGGAGACCTGAAACTAGCAATTGAGACCATAAAGTCTTTTAGAAAATGTTTGTTGAGCTAACAAACCAAGAGAGTAGTTGGGCCACTTTCTCCTAAACTGCTACATGATCACACTTCTTTTTGCTTCTAGGGGAGTCGTCCCCTGCTGCCCTGTAGAAAGAATGCAGTTTTAAGGTACTTCTGTGTTGAATTCATTTGGACCTGAAGGCTATATCTATCTTTGAGATACAGTCAGATTACAGCGTGAGAGCCTGATCAGTGAGACTATGGTAACTGCAGTGTAAACAGCAAGACAAATTATTTCTGTACACTTTTGAATTCATCCTGCTGCTGCCATTAATTGTTCCAGCACAGATAAGTGATCCAATAACAGAAGTAGCCATACACGGCCAGGCCCTAACATTATAACATGAAATAGTTTGTCATTCTTTACACTTTTTTCTTTCCATCGTTTTGTTAAAGGTTCATGGCTGTTCCATCTTTCCAGACTTTTGCTGGTTTGCATCTTGCACCAGAGCCTTTGTATCTTGCTGATGTCCAACTCTTCTGTGAAGTGTGGATTGTGATACTTTCAAATTACTAGACTGGTGCTGATATTTGACTGCTGTTTTCTTCACAGCTCAGAAGATTTTCTGTCATCAGCTACAGTTGGTCTGTTTGCAATCTGTATTTATTTTGAAGTCCACTAGTGGTTTCTTTATTCTTTTCGACACTGAAACCGTTGTCTGCCTTCATCTATTAGCCATCAAGGCTATTAAGTAACTGCAGACATTAATAGCCCCAAACATCAGTGCATATCATTCCCATACATATGAGCCAGGAGGGAACTCCCCACCCTCCAGCACACTGGGTAGGTGCATCGTTGTTTATTCTAATCATAGATAAACCAAAAATAAGCTTGTTTCATGGCTGGTGCTGTTTTATAATGTGCGAAGTCTCTAATTGTGTCAAACTGACTGACTAATGCTTAAAACTCTTCAACGCATCCTTGTTTAGGTGTAACTTTAATGTGACCCCAACAATTTCAGATAAATCAAACGTTCCCTAAATGAACACTAAAAATCTTGTTTCTTTTTATTGGACACTCTCAGTAAATGTAAAGTGAGGCCCAGAAGACCACTGGGGAAGATACTTTGTTTTGAATTTTATACAAAATGCTTAATTTGGGAGCTTCACAGTGACCTGGTTGTTAGATCCCTGATTCGCCTCCCAGTTAGGATGCCTGGGATCTTTCTATGTGAAATTTGCATGTTCTCTCTGTGAGGCATGGGTTCTGACCAGGTTCTCCGGTTTCCTCCTACAGTCCAAAAACATGCTGAGGTTGATTGGTGAATATGAGTGGGAATGTGAGTGTGCTTGGTTGCCTGATTCTGTGTAGCCCTGCCATAGACTGGCGACCTGTCCAGGTTGCCCTGAGTTGGCTGTGATAGGACCCAGCCCTCCTGCAACCCTAGTGAGGAATAAGCCGTGTATAGATAATGGATGGATGGATGTTTAATTTGAGAAAAGTTGGATCTATTAAAACATGCACGGATTTCAAAATATCTTAGTGTTTGCTTGCTCTTCTTTTGCTTTAATGGCGGCAGCACTTGATCTTCATGGACTTCATCAGTGTTCTGACCTGATAATCCATGTTGCCCGAGCAAAATGTGACAACATTCTAAAGAACTTGTTGTCATGCCATGAATGCTTGTCAGTCTTCAAGTGCCCCATAAATATTCAAAGACGTTGAGGTCAAAGTCAGTCAGAAGTCTTATTCCAGACAGTCCAGACAGTCCTGGACTTTCTGGAGTCAGATCTTTAGTCTTCAAGTCAAACCTCTGAGGTGCTGCAGTATGAATGTAGAATGGATGCAAATTCTCTGTGGTCAGTCATTAACTATGAAATGCACATATGCATTATCCCATCCCAAGCATTTGTTCTTGTTTTACGTCCAGAGAAGTGGTTTAAAGACCCTCTTTACCCTCTGAGACGCTGCTACACAGTATTCTTTTACTAGGACTTTTTACTGATTGGAGTCTTGGGTTCTTTCTTTCACAAAATCTGCATCTGTGATGAAGAGACTTTTCCATGTCTCAGTGAGCAAAGCTTGATGTATTCATTTTTTGATGGTGTGCTCACTGTTGGTCTGTTTGATTGGGCTTTAGATACAACTGAGCCAGTTTCCACACTGCCCTTAGGAACCTTCAGTCCAGCCACGAGTCAATGTTGAGAAAGCTCCTCTTTGCTCAGAATGACAATCCGACTTATGACACTTTTATTCTGTTTTGATGCCACATTTTCCAGGTGCCCCTCCAGAAATTGTTATTTGTGGTGTCCAGATGGGGCAAATGAAAATCTTGAGGTGGCCCCTCAAACCCAAAGTCGGAACTGAATTTCAGCAATTCTACTATGTTGTTGTTGTATAGAGGGTAGACGAAAACTGTGTCAATATGAGACTTAAGGGATCACATACTAATATCTCTTTGTTTTTTCATTTTACAGTTGCTAAGTAGGTAATGTGCTGAGAGTTGCAGTTAACATTTTTTTCCCCCAGTGACAGCCCTTGAAAATAGCCCAAGAGAAGGGACTGCAGAGTACTTGAGGGGAAAAAATTCACCCATAGGCAGAACATCTAACTAGCTGCATCTAACTACAGCCACCTATAGCACAATACAATGTGTTTTGATTGTTGCTCAGCTGTCTATTGCCACGTATTTGTAGTTCCTGTATTGAATAAAGAAATCTCATCCTTTAATGCATCCATCCTGCTGTGAAACTGAAAAATCTCCCTAAAAAAATGACAGAAAAATATCCTGACTTCAAATGTACTACAATTGTTAGAGTAGAATAATATCTAATAAATTAAGTAACTGCTGTAAATGCAACTCATCTGTTGTCATGAACAGAGAAATCAGTTATAGAGACCAACACAGTTTTAACCCCAGGCTGAAAACATCTTTATTTCTGCTGTAAAGTTGTTTTTTAAAAAAAAATGGTATCTGTGAGGATTGACATGTGTTTGGTGTCAGCCTCAAGTGGCCATTTGAGGATCTGCAGTTTTTGGCGCCTCCTAATTGCCTTTATTTTTCATCACTGCTGGCTGCTGCTTGTGCTGCACAGTGGAGAGGTGGTTAGCACTGTCGCCTCATGGCTAGAAGAGCCCCGGTTTGCTTCTCACTTAGGATGCCTGGCATCTTTCGGCACGGAGTTTGCATGTTCTCCCTGTGCAGCATGGGTTCTCTCCAGGTTCTCCGGCTTCCTCACATGCAGTCCAAAGACATGTTGAGGTTAATTGGTGATACTAAATTGTCCGTAGGCGTGAATGTGAGTGTGCTTGGTTGTCTGTCTCTAAGTGTAGCCCTGTGATAGACTGGTGACCTGTCCAGGGTGTCCCCTGCCTCTGTCCAGCCCCTCGCCACCCGAGTGAACATTAAGCAGTGTATAGATAATGGATGGATGGATGAAGGTGTGCCTTCTTCAGGTAAAAGCACAGTTTATGGACAGTCTGCACAACTAACTGGCTGTTGCCATAGGCATAGCTGATACAGTCACCTAATGCTGCGTTCACTTGCACTTGGACAGTGTAATTCACTGACACTCAGACATCAGAGCTTCATTTAATGAATTTAACATCAGATTTGGAGTGACGACATAGGTGGGAAATATATCAGGGGTGGCCATGGCAGTGTTCTACTGGGGACCTGAGGCACAGTTATACTTCCAACAGATGAACAGTGACTGTAGGTTGATTTGGTTAAACTGTTCAACCTCTGATAATTAGTTTAAATCCAGCTGAGTGTCATCTGACCACTGCTTCAATGGAAGGATACATTATGAGGAAATCTGACCATCTGGAAAAAGTCAAACTTTCAGATTTTTTGCAGGTTTACATAAAAATATGACAGATTTGATGTACATAAACACACTTTTTTTTTTCTCAGGAACAGGTCAGAGGTAAGTGTCATTTTTTAAAATTATGTTAATGTCATTGTATAATATTGCCTTGGCGTAGTTGCTATATATATGTGTGTGTGTGTGTGTGTATGTATGTATGTATGGACAGTAGTTAAAAGTGTATTCCTTTAAGTGTCAAAGAGTGTTATAAAATCCCTTTGTGAAATTATCATTGTAAGGAGCAGTTCTCATATTTAGAGTGGTGTGCTGCCACTTTAAGAGCAGCACAATGCAGCTCCTCAGTGGGACGAGAGAGATTGTTTTCTGTTTTTTTTTTCTTTTCTTTTCTTTTTTTTTTTTTAGAAAGCCACTGCTGTTGTTCAGTAGGCACTAGAACACACTGTAAACAAAATTTTGGATGTATGACTTTTGAGTTGCCACATCTTGCCGGAGCAGCCTATCAGTGCTGTCTAAAAGTTCTATACCTGTCAGGTTCACAGTTTCAAGGCAAGCATTAACTACAGAAGCAGTAAAAAAATAATAAAAAAAAGGATTTATCTTTGTTTTATTTTGCCTCTGACGTTTGGTCAAAAGTCTTACTGCTGCTTTACGTTTCCTCTAACGCAGTAGGGGAATTAAAGACCCACTAAAACTTGTTATTCTGTGTCCGGTCTCTTCTCTTTTGATCTGACCACATTTATATGTTCCAATTTGCTTTTAACTACATTCCAGTGTGTTGTAAACTTGTATTAAATGTTTTGTTAAATGGTTTTATGGTGTTACTATGCAAGTTTGAAATTCATCACATTCAAAGGTTCATGATTGTTGAGTTTACATCAGTGAGAGGCTGCAGTTTCTTTATTATTATTATTTTTTATCTTATTGAACTTCCTGTCTTCCTTTCAGAAACCCCTTAAAACACATCGAGAGTTAATTTTTCTCAAGTTTTATTAAAAAAATTATTATTAAAAGAATAATCTACAATGCAAATGCAAGTAAGAAAAGGCTTGCTCTACTACTGGAGCCTAAAGCTGTCAGTGAGCGTCCTCCTGCTATATATCAAACCTCTAAATGATCTCTGTCAGCATGTTAACTGTGGATTATAAAACGCCCCTGTGGTTTAATCACTTCCCTGCATTCTGTCTGTCAAAAGCTCGATGGCACAAGATAATACAGATAACAATCTTAAAGGGCGGGTTATTTATAATGAGGCGAGCTGAGGAAGGGGGCAGATGACACTGTACTGTATTTCATGACCTTGCCAGCTCATTGGTTTGACCAGTAATCCACTTCCATAAAGAGAAAGTGCAGGATTTGGACGTCTATCGGAGATTGCAATATATACCTTCTTAACACTTCTGCTAGCCAGGACTCAGTCTGTGTCTCTGTGCCTCAAACAACTCTGCCTGCTTAAGGTAAGAACTCTTTATCGACCTGTTTGTCTGGTTGTATATTCAGTAGATGAAGCATGTTTTGGTCATTTGCATGACAGCAGCTGTAGATGGTTTTATTTTGTTGGTTCATATTCATGCTTGTTGAAATGTTTCAGTGGAAGGTTGTAGGTTTGCAGAATGTTTTATTTTTGCTGGCACGATCACAAGACTACATCGTGTAAGTGAGCCTGTAGTAACTGTAAGACACCAAATGTTGGTGGAGGTTTGATGTCTACTCTGAGACAGTTGGAATTAAGTGTTTATGATGGAGAATCAGAGCAATTTACACACATTGTAGTTTCTGTTTAATTGATATTGTGTTACTTTAATATGCTTTCAGTGCTGCATAGGGTCACTTTTTGCAGCTGACATGAAAGGCTGTTAGTTTCTAAAACGTTTCTTTGATTATTACAGCTCTTATCATGATACTCTAAGTGATTTTTCTGGATTTCCAAGGAGTAGTCCTCTGTCTCTGCGCTGTGCTGTGGTGATGTACAGTCTGGTGATGTGGCATGCTGAAAGGCAACACCACTACAAGGCATGAACCTGAAAATCGATCTGCCAGTGTTTATCCTCCTGTCAGCACCAAGGAAGGAGGGGGGGATTTAGAGGAAAACCTGGTCTAATCTGCTGTGGATGCCAGCCTCAGTATCTTGTCTTCACTTTACACTTCAGTTCAATCCCCACTCACCAAATTTAGCCTGTTTTCTCCGCGAGCATCAAACAACAACTGTTTACGCACCATTAAAGCATTTCAAGCATTCCTACAACAGAGGAGTTTATAATCTTGACTAATCTTTAGAAGTTTTTAAATATTTGAAGTCTCACGAAAGCTTTAGAGAAGCTTTATCGAAAAACTGTATTTTAGTTTTTGGCTCTTTTGTCGTAATTGTCATATTTTTTTCCACTTTTCGAGGATAGATCATTTGTGTCCCTTAACAAAGTTTCCAGTTGTCAGTTTAGCCTCTACTCAATTAATATATATTTTCATGCCACTGTGAAGCAAAATTCTGTCTTCTAAATCCGATTTATTTTTAATTTTTGGCTCTATTTTGGTTTCTGTAAATGTTTTTGTGCCGTCCTCTTGTTTTTCAGCAGCTGAACTGTGCATGCTTCTGAGGTCAGCCTGCGGCAAGTTATTTTTGTGATATGCTCTAATGTCTTGGCCGTCTAAAGGATGTTCTGAGGTGTTGGGTTACTGTGAAACCTTCCGTCGTCCCTCCAGAGACAATCCTACCCGTAACGTGCACACACACACGTTTGCTTAAGACAAAAAATCAGAGCCCACATATAACCCTGCAGATATAATTCCATCTCCAGAGCAACATGCTGTTGTGTCCTCCAAGTTTCAAGTGTCCTAAAATACACTTTGAGCCCTGGAGATGCCCTCCCTACTCTCCCCTTATTGGTTTACAGATGAGGGCCATTTGTTCTGGGGGCAGCTATGTGTTTTAGGATGCCTGCAGTGGTTGTCTTTTCTTTTAAGACGAGCCTGCTGTCATTTTTTTTGCTCTATAATGACGATGGTAGGAACAGCTGTGGCTACAGAAATAGGGTCTTAATCCACTGCTCCATCACAGCTCCTAAACATTACAAGCAGCCAAGGCAGTAACTATCCAGCCTCGGAAGACCTCTGGAAGTGTATCCAGGCTACTATTTTAATGGCAGGTCTCCCCAGTCCAGTGAAATCCATCTGAGCAGATAGTTTTGGTTTTGATTGCCAAGCATTTGAGACTTATTTCAAGCTGAAGACAAAGAACTGCTGAGGCTAATGGAAATATCTTTACTTTTGCAGGTATTCATAACCAAAGTAGTGACAAATTATAATTTTGACCTGACGGTGACACTGGATTCAGAGTCTCTACAATTAGGAGGGGAGCATGGAGTTTGTGAACCAAGTTTCATGGCAATCCAGCAAGTAGTTGTTTAGACTTGACTTAAAACCAACACCACCAACCATGTCAACCTCATGGTGGCACTGGAGGAGAATCATTAAAGCCATCGAGAGCGAATATCGGGACAAGATGAACTGGCTGACTGACTGCCACTGCTGTCCTTAGAGAGATGGCTAAATAGACTGTTTTCTAAGTATGACCTAACCTGAAAGCTAGACCTCATCCATTCTGACTACGGTATAGGGAATTCATTGACAGTATACAGATAGCAGAGGAATTACGCTGGAGACTGAGTGTGTGGACTGTTAAACTTGTGTAAAAATAGAAGTGTAGGCTATTTGTTCCATTACATGGATGAGTGACAAATGTAAAGAAAATGCTTCACAGCTGGCACGGATCAGCCTTTAGATGCAGAAAAGGAACGGAGTGAATGGGTTGGCTGCTTTCACAACACAGATATGCTGTTTCAGTAGCATAATTCCCAAACACCTCTACATTTTTCACTGATTGGTTGGTTTGTTTTGTGTTTTTGAGCTTTTTTTTTTTTTTGGTAGTGCTTAAACAACTGGTTTTGTCTCCTGCTTCTTCCATTCTGATTTTTTTAGTTGCATTTCTTAGACCAATGAACATAATCTGCATCACATCATGTCAGCTGTATTATTATTATTATTATTATTGATCTTTATCCATCCATACATCCATTATCTATGCACCGCTTAATTCTAACTAGTCGGCTGGGATAGGCTCCAGTCCCCCCCAGCGACCCTACTGAGCAGGACTGATAATATTATTAATATTTTGTTGTGTTGTTGCTGTTGCTTGGATATGCAGCACAGATTTAATTTGATCTGACTGCACTTACAGTTATATATGACTATATAGAAGTAACATAACGCTGACAGCAGCAGACATTATTTTGCCAACTACTTGCTCAGGGGGAGTCCAAAGGCAACTTTGGATTGTTGGGTTCTCTGTTTAAATTTGTAAGGTCTATACTTCATTATGTTAAGCACTGTGTGATGACATATGTTGTAAACTGCGCTATACAAATAAAATTGAATTGACAGTTTAAATGTACATTAAGTTTTTTTTTTTGACCTGTAGGTGACGGTAAAAGAATAGTCAGAGGATCAAAGTCGCTATGAGTCATCCTGCATGAATGAATCATAAATGTCTGAACCAAATTTAATGGCAATCCATCCACGAGTTGTCAGGCTGTTTTACTGCACAGTGCTGGACCTGTGTCCCTTGAGCCCTGCTGCTAAAAATAGCGGTTTGGTCCTTTAAGGCAATAACGCGGCCTGGGTTACAAAGTTGAGTTCCATGAAATTTCTTGGAATTAACATGATGTCTCAAGATAGAATTAACATGATCCAAACATGAAATTTGAGACAGGTGAGTGTCTGGTGCAGTCGGGAATTAAAGGGAGCAGACAAGAGGTTAGACATAAAGTAGTTTGACATAGAATGGGGAGTTTAACCGTTACCTGTACATTTATAGCTTGTTGCAGAGCAAATGTGAGCTAATTTTGAATAGTGGTACGCTGAGATGTGTGATTTAAGACAGGGGGTGTCAGACAGCTCTGCACACATAGCGCACAAGGAACTTTAACAAGGTTTCCAGATATTTTTACTACCGCTGTCAGCAGAAAAGCTCGATGAAATTTATTATGTCTGTTCAGACTGAAGTCATGTATGAAAGCATCCCGGATCACGATTAACATGTCTGAGTCAGAGTAGATTTATTCTTTGTGCTCTCAATAAAGACAATACTAAAAGTCTACAGCCTTGTTAGTGCTGCAGAGAGAAATACCATAACTAGTCCTGAGGGGGCCGCCAGAGGAAGAGTTATGCTGCTAATACACAGAGGCAAAACAGGTGTTTGCTCTTCCATGAATCTGTCGTATTTTCAGAACCATTTCATAATCAAAGTGTTGTTTATGTCAACCTGAAGAGCTAATACCAAGGAATGAATGGAAGCCAATGGCCTTTTAGTTCAATAAAGCAGAAAAAAAGCACGACAAACATCATTTAAAGAAGGTTCACAGCCTATAAATAAATAATACATTTTTAATGATTAATAAACTATACTAATGCTCTCTTGATAAGTGATGCGACATGGATAAGAAAAACTTGTATCAAGCACATTTTTGCTTGTCTGTTTATCTCTTAGTTCATCAGGGCCTGATGCTGTTTGTCTGCTTCTGCAAAACAGCTGCAGGACATCTGGACCAAATTCTGTTAATAAACTTGTTATTAACATTTTTAACTGCAGACTGGGTGGTGCACAAAAATGTTTAATAATGACTTGTTATTGTCTGCATCTACAGGAGGATGACAGGGTTTTAAAAATGTCTAATTAGAAAAACTACATCATACTAGCATTTCTAACTGCAAATCTGACAATGTATGAGTGAAATCCTATGCGCTTGTTACCCATATTTGTAGCTGTATTATTACTGAGTAATAGCTCCACACAGCCATATTATTAAACTAAACCTGATTCCAGGCTCCAGTGAGCATGAGCATTCGAGGTGTGACATGATCATATCATTGTTTTGTTTGTCAGCTGGTGTTGCTGACATCTACTTTTGTAGAAGTGTATACGTTTCATCAGATGTTGGACAAATGCCCCTCAGAAACATTTTACCTTTGCCACTTTAACTACTAAAGGTAAAATATAATTTTAACTCTGTGTTGCTTTGTTTTTCTACCAGATAACTTCAAGATCCTGCAGCTAACATGGCCACTGAGTGAGTAACAATTAAATTATGTTGGAGTCTCTGTACTGGCCTGTTTGTCCAGCAGACTATCTTACAAATGTATTAAGACTGTACAGCAGTGGTGTCCAATCCTGGTCCTCGAGAGCCCCTATCCAGCATGTTTTAGATGTTTCTCTCTTCCAACATACCTGATTCAAATGATCAGCTCATCATCAAGCTCTGCAGAAGCCTGATAACGATCCTGATCATGTGAATAAGGTGTGTTGGAAGAGGGAACATCTAAAACATGCTGGATAGGGGCTCTCGAGGACCAGGATTGGGCACCCCTGCTGTACAGGGTAGTCAAGTCAGGCCAGCAGGCCAAGGAACAAGTGATCCTATTGTGAAGGAATGCAAACTTTTATTGTGTTTATTGTGTGTTACATGTTCCCATATGTTCTTTCAGCATGGTATTTGGTAAAATCCGGCATGTAAACATGTTAGCATAGCATGCTAATATCTCATTAGCATACTAAGGTTATCATGTTAGCATTAACCCTTCAGTTGGCTACATTTGTCATGTTATGCTAACATGCTATAAAGAATCTTACAGATGCCAAATAGTTGTGTAGCATGTAGTGTTTTGAAGCAGATCCAAGTGTTTATACAATTTTATGTGATCAAAATCTCCAGTCATTGTCTGATATTAAATCAACATTTATGCATCATTGCCATCTGCAAACATGATGAATCCTATTCGTTGTGGATCAGAGTGAAGTAATGTAGTAGTAATGCAACAAAAGAAGTGAATCAGTAACCCCAGATCAATCATTTTATCAACACTGCATGATTCTGTCGATGCCGAATGAATAATAATAATCATACATTTCAGAATTTATTTTAAACATAATTGCACAAATCTACTGTGTTTGTCTGCAGGAAGAGGCTGTCTGCGAGGCGTAAGCATACGCTGAAGGTAAGAATATTTCTGCTGTACAAAGCAGAGCAGAAAGTGCATTTTCTTTTGCACCTTCTTCATCTAACTTGACATGGTGTGATGGCTTAAATCCTCAGAGCTGTATGCTGGTGGTGGCCAACAATTTGCTGGAGGCTGAATCAACAGTGAAGGCTGGAGAGAGGGAGAAGTTCTTGGCAGATAAATGTCCTCCTCTGGAGCTGCCCTACTCCAAGGATGAGCTTGTGGTGAGAAAAATAACACAGACTGTTCAGGTCCGGGTCAGTCCGGGATAAACTGCTTCAAACAAATATTTCATTTACATATCCTGCTTTCTAAGAACTATGTGGTTGCCTTGAGAGCTCAACACACTGCAAGTTAAGAAAACACTAATGTGACTTTATGATTGTGGGGCCAAATTTTACAGAAAAAACAACTGAACACAGAAACAATGGGCAAGTACAGAACCACGAGCGAATGGTAAAATGCTGTAAATAGCACAAACCACAATGGAAATGCTTGCAGGGGGCACAAAGCAGTGAAGAACACCCCCGGGACATGTTTGCTATCAACAAAAGGGGGAACTCCCATTGTGGAGCATAACTGTATACTCTAAATCCTCATATCACTTTCCACAAAAACGCAAATGTTTTAAACAATCAAAGGAAAAAAGCAGAGGAAACCTTTGAGCTGTCTGCTGTTGCTTCAGGACAATGCATCCGTCCTCACAGCACCGGAGGCCGAAGCAGCCAAATGTGGCTTTTAAGTGTTGCCCCATGAACCTTACGGACCCAACCTGTACTGTCTGACTTTTATCTGTTTTCCAAACTAAAACCCACACTTGAGTGGGTCAGAGAGTTAGTGAAGTCATCCAAATCTGGACATTTAAGATGTCACCTTCCTTTGCGGAGGGGTAGTGACGCCTGAGCATTGTTGGACCAAGATCGTTTAAGTTAAAGGAGGCTATTTGGAAAAGTAATGCAAGAACTATCTTTATTTTTCTCTGATGTTTTCTGGTGAACTTCTTGAAATTTCCATGGAGTAGTTTGTGACCAAAGTCAACTGTCTGTCAGAAGTGTTGGAAAATGAGCACAAGTTCATCCATAATAACAGATATGTACTTTTAACATTGCATTAGCATTTTCCTCATCAATAACTATCAATTCCAATAATCTGAGGAAATACAGAAAGTAACCAATAATCAGACTCTTTTACTGGCTTTAACCTGGTTACTTTCAGCACTCACAATGAGACAAGCTCACTTATAGTCAATCAACCCAGAGCACGGTTAATACAATTAGACCTACTCTGGCTGCTTTGTCTGGCAGAAATATATTTTCCTTCAGAGTAAATGATTCAATGAACATGCACGGTTCACTCACAGTGAGAGGAGACAGTCTGTCCGCATTTCAATTACTTGATCCAAGAACTTGAATCCTTCACTCACTGAATGTTTTCTGCACATTCACTCACAACTCACTGACAGTTCAGTTGAACTGAAAAATGAACACAAGTGATTCATTTGTTCACCCAACAGAATTCTTCTTATGAAAGAATAGAATAGAATACTTTTTAAATGATCCCCCATTGGGGGGAAATGTACACGCCACAGCAGCATCCAAAAATTACAAGAAAGTACAAGAAAATAACAATAATGAAGTAATATGCATCCTGATGTCCACACACAGCAGGTCCAAGGCCCCACCGTCTCTGTTTGGACAGTCCACACACTGGCTGAATGTGGGGAGAGTGGTAGAGAACGATGTATGATTAAAGTCTCCTGAGATGACGATCAGAGACTGAGGGTGTGATGTTTGCAGCTGGGACACTGAACTATGGATGAGTTCACAGGTCGCAGCAGCATCAGCCGGAGGGGAGGATGCAAACTGCAATTGCCAGGATGTGTGAAAACTACCTCAGCAGGTGAAATGGCCACAAACCAACCACCAGCAGTTCAACATCCTTCCAGCGCTGCTCTTTAACACTAACGTGCTAGCGTTACACCATCTCTCATTCACATACATGGTGAGTCCCCAGCCTTTCTTCTTGCCACTCTCCCTCCAGCTCCGGTCCGCTCTGACCAGGTGAAAATCCGCCCAAATTTGCGAGCGAGTCCGGAGTGAGTTTGTTCAGCCATGACTCCATGAACAACATAAGGCTGCACTCCTGATACTCCCACTGCAGCCGGGTCAGCGCTGGTAGCTCTTCCAGCCTGTGAGGGAGAGACCTCACGTATCCCATGGTGACGGACGGACGGCTTGTAGCGTCTCCTTTTGTCCCAACGCTTCACTCCTGCCCTGCATCCCCTCTTCCTCCAGCTCATCGGGGATGTCCGGTCTCTCTCCTGATGATGGCTTGGCCTGGCTCAGCGCCAACAGCTGTTCATGAGTGTAAAAACAATAGAGCCATGGCTTAACAGCTCGACAGACGGACCCCAAAAACTTACAAAGAAATACTGTGGAATGACACAACACCATCTGTCAAATTGGTGAAGATAATTTCTTGACAATACTATGTTGTGTCTCCGTGCCTGTGTTTCGTTAAGCTGCAGTGTGTTGAGCTGTCACCACATAATTCAAAGTTTGTTTGTTTTTTGTCATATAAGAGAATTGCAAGCACATATTTTCAGTGAGGTTTTGTGGCTTTAAGGTTGACAATATCTCAACAAAAGATCTCAATGTTTCTATGTCATCCTCAGGAACTTTGCCAGAAACTTCATGAGCAAATTGACATCAGTGAAGAGGAGAGATACTGCCTAGAGTTTAAACTCAACATGGTACTGAATGAGGTGAGACACTCCTTCAAGTTTATTTATTATATTAATAGGCTTGATATTAGTTTGACCACAACAGTAATGACATTTGTGTTTATTTGCCATTTTGTTACTACTATATCAAAACTAAAGTGTTTCTACTTTATCTTTATTGGAGCGCTGGGTACACTTGTCTTTTAGCCACAGTTACATGTACTTATATAACGTTTCTGCTTTTTGCTCTCACTAGAGTAGATTTTAAGATTTAAAAAAAAAAAACAAAACATGACTTTTTGCTCCTACATTCTGTTGAGGGTTTGCACTACCGATCCCACATCAAGTGCTGTTCTGTTATCCTTCCACATCTACGCTTCTCCATTAATCTGTTTATAGTAGAATAATACATGTATTTGTGATCTCACTGTTTACTTTTCCACTGTTGGAGTTTAAATGTCCATCCATCATCTCTACACCACTTAATCCTCACTAGGGTCATGGGGGGCTGGAGTCTATCCCAGCTGACTTAGGGTGAAGGCAGGAGACACCCTGGACAGGTCACCAGTCTATCACAGGGCTACACTTAGAGACAGACAACCAAGCACACTCACATTCACACCTACGGACAATTTAGAATCACCAATTAACCTCAACATGTTTTTGGACTGTGAGAGGAAGCCGGAGAACCCGGAGAGAACCCACGCTGCACGGGGAGAACATGCAAACTCCACACAGAAAGAGTGTCCTCACTGGGGTGTGAACCGGCGACCTTCTTGCTGCGAGGCGACGGTGCTAATCTCGACCACTTGCAGCCCAAGTTTAAATGTCTAGTGTGTTAGTGTGTTATTTGTAAGAGTTTATTATTATAATCACTCAGTGTATCAGCCCTCAGAACTACTGCTGCCCCTACATTCTGGAGCTAATGCATAATAACTCCTTCACTCGCCTGAAGATTTTAAAAACCACGTCCCTATAAACACGTACGTCTGTCTGTCCCGAGGAGGCATTTTTATGTGAACAATTCCTTACTAAAATCAAGAGTGCTGCAATGATTATAAATGCTCTTAAGATCATTTGTGAGTTCAGAGGAGTTTGAGTTGCCACAAAAGAAAAAAAGGATGCCTACCATGGATTTACATACTCCCAAGCAAGGTGAGAGTTTCCAGTGCCATGCACAGTTTCCGCTTTGTCTTTATAGGAAAGATCAGCAAGTTTTAGTTCCCATTTGACTTGCTTTTGCAGCTCCCTGTGGCAAGGGACCTCCCCTGTGATTAAAGAGATATTCCTGTCGGTGTGTGAAACCACTTACTGATATGACTCCGATAAGTCGATATCGGTATGTTGTCACCGCCCATGAGAGAATCTAAATTGCTTTTAGCTGTTGGTTTCCAGAAAATCAGCTTCACACATGTGAACAAGTCAGGGAGTGCTTCAGAATATGCAGATGATTTTGTCAGACATAAGTAAGCCCAAACGGAAATCTTCAATGCACTTAGCAAAAGGGCAGCAGTCACCATGCTGGCCTTTATGCAACTTCTTGTTTTCCTGAATCTCTACAACAAAAGTATAAAGTTAGCATGACCCATTGAGCCACATTAATGGAAAACATGTGTTTGAAATAAACCACAATTATCTTTTAGTAGGCCACTATGAGTGGGTGGGATTATTGCTTCCATAAATTTCATTTTGTTTTAAAGCTAAATGTACTTGATCATGAATTTAGTCCTAAACGTAAGCTAGCCCCTTGGAACAGAAGCTTCTCCATTCACAGTCACACAGATGCATCACTGCTGTTTAATGACTGATAATTTCATATTTAATTCATTCGGGGGTTTTGTTTGTTTGTTTTTTTCTATCCTGAATCCTCTTGAAGGTCAGGGACCTCAACATAAAGATTGTGGATTTGAGGGGAAAGTTCAAGAGGCCCCGGCTGAAGAAAGTGCGCATGTCTGCTGACGCCATGCTGAAAGCTCTGCTGGGCTCCAAACACACGGTCAACATGGACCTGAGGGCCAACCTGAAGCAGGTCAAGAAGGAGGTGAAAGAGGAGGTGAGCTGCTGCCTGGTTCACCAGGTCTACACAGTCTACAACCCAACAGAACCACACACGCTCTAAAGTTTTGTTTCTAATACATTTTTGCCAGAAGGAGGTGTAAAAACATCAGCAGCATTTTGTTCATATTGTGCCATTTTTCAGATCAGCCTCTGAACTAACAGAATTATTATTATTTGTGTTTGCAGGACAAGCAGTTGCGTGATGTTGGTGACTGGCGTAAGAACATTGAAGACAAGTCTGATAGGAAGAAGATGTTTGATAGTTAAATGAATCAATTGTTGAGATTAAGAGTGACTTTCAGGACAGAATTGAGGTCTAATGTCTTTGTAACTGAAGAGTTTTACCCCAAAAGGCTGCATATCCACCTTGACTCTGACTTTTGTTGAGGTTCCAGTAGTTAACAGTGTGAGATCTAGATCATGCTGAATCAACCAAAGGTATACATGTGGAGCCAAACTGTAGTACTTCCTAAGCTTCTGTTGTGGTACACTAATTTATAAATGGCCTGTATTTTGTCGATTGGATTACACGTACTTCTATTTAAGGCATGTGTTGAGTTTCAAAATGTGGAATATCTGTAATGTGCACTGATAGTTCTATAGCTTTTGGATATCTCAATTTGGAGGAAACTCTTCAGTTGAATCTACCTTCTGCTTTGCCTGTATGGAAACTTTCCTGTGATGTATTTGTACTGGATGTACTGGTGTCAGTTAGTACATGAGTGATGAAACTATCCCACGTTTCTTCTGTAAATACTGACTTATGCTTCTACATCAAAACACTGGTGAACCAATGATACAGCCTCCTCAAAACTGCAATTGGCATTTTTTTTTTCATTGTTCCAAAAAAAGAGTTTTAAATAAACCATGAAGTGTCAAGTTTCCAGTGACAAGCAGCGAGGAAACTGTAACCCTCTGAATGGAAACCCAGCTCTGTCTCTGTAGACACAAAGATGGCTGCTCGGTGACAGTCAATTAAATCAATCCGAGTACAATGATCAGGCTGCTTCCAACACGTAATTGTGGCTCCTTTGTTGCAGAAGTATAAATCAGTCGACAGCTTGTACTCAACCACATATTCGTTCAATTTCATGTTTCTAAAAGAAAATGTGATGTACTTTCCTCGTCTCTCTGCTATCACATTAAACACAAAAGCTTCATATTCATCTGGTTTGCAGGCTTGTTGAATTTGTAAACACTTAGCTCAAGTTTAAGTTCCCCCCCATAAAGTGTAAATGTAGAATTTATGTTGATCTTAACTTTATATTACAGTGTTGTTGCTCAGCTTAAAGCTACTCTGACCTTTTGGGATGCGTTGCTTGGTGTGTGTTTGAGGACTGAGACAGGAAAAGTGAGAAAGTAATCATTTGTAGCAAATGCAAGAAGGTTTAACAAGTAGCAGAAAGATATGTCTGCCTTAACAGTTTTTTTTTGTCCTTATCTTGCCCGTTTAAATCCTACCTGCCCTGACGTTATACCCTTTATAGTGTAGATTTAAACGCTTTTTAAAAAGTGCTCACTGTAACCCACAGTTAACTATCAGGTAACATTTGTTAGCCTGGACAATAGACTGTCAGAAGGTGCAAATTATTTTGGTTCTAATCTTTATATAAACTATAATAATTTAAAAATTAAAAAGTAATCTTAAACAGATATTTCTGATTTTACTGTTTTGCAGCCATCAAACCTGTGTTGTCCATTTGGAGGCGTGTCAGGGCAAACACTGAAGTATTACTGATACTTATGATTCATTTTTATCGAGTTAAAGCTTTCTGGTGTTAATATGCATTGCAAAAAGGGAAGTCTCAGTATTTTCATCCAGCCAGAAGAACAGGTGAGTAATTTACTTAAAGCTTGTTATTTTTGGTTTTCAAAGCAATTCTTCCCTGCAAGTCACTGGATTTTCTTTCTTTTTCTTGCAGATCAGATAACTTTATGTGACCCAGTTTGATGTGGTGCAGAGGTACGCTCATTAACTTCCCTGTAGTAAACAAACCCGATCCTCCCTTTGCTCACGCTGGATCAAACATTTACAGCCTTTCTGTTTCTAAATGTTCCCTTAACGACTAGTGTTGAAGAGTAAGGAAACTGTAACCCTCTACACACTAATACTTCAACAGAAATGCCATATTTTCATCTTGTTTTTTAAATAGTTTGCCACCATTTAATGCTTGACTGTCACTCTTTCGCTTGTATCCTCTTCCTCTCCAGTGGTTTAATAGCTGTAATGGTTTCCACAGTGTTTTTCAAAAAAAGACAAGAGTCTGGACTTCTGTTTTGTGAACAGCTTTAGTGAACACAAAGGTAACTGCAGCTCCTGCTCATGGCACGGCGTAACCTGCTAGGAGCATAAACTAAATTTCTTCCCGCACCTGTACCGGCTGTTGACTACCCAAAATCCCGTGCTTGCCTTGAACCCAAGCATCATGGGTAATGGAGTCCCAAAGTTCAACGGACTCATTATTTCTGAAATGAAAGTGCATTCTCATTTAACTTATTAATATCTCACACCAACTGTGTTATATGAATGACTGACTCAGTAAATAAACGTAACTCATAACAATAGCAGCCAACCAGATAGTTAGCAGCACCAGCAGGTTATCTTGACAAATCCATCCATCCATTATCTATACACCGCTTAATCCTCACTAGGGTCGAGGGGGGCTGGAGTCTATCTCAGCTGACTTAGGGTGAAGGCAGGGGACACCCTGGACAGGTCACCAGTCTATCACAGGGCTACACTTAGAGACAGACAACCAAGCACACTCACATTCACACCTACGGACAATTTAGAATCACCAATTAACCTCAACATGTTTTTGGACTGTGTGGGAGAGAACCCACACTGCACGGGGAGAACATGCAAACTCCATGATCCCGGGTGTCCTCACCTGGACGCAAACTGGCGACCTTCTTGCTGCGAGGCAATGATGCTAACCACTGAGCCACCTTGTACTGTCATGAGCGGGAGTCGAACTCACCGCTGCGTCAGGGAACTACAGCCCCTGTTCATGGGGCTACAGGGGCAGCCCTTAGCTTGACAAACCAGCTCCTAATATTCACTAAATGGTTGTTAATTGTTATTATTTTTTTAACATCATAAGTAATATTACTACATTTTCACTACAATATTACATTGTTTCACAGTCATTGGTTCATTGATCAGCTGTTTACCATCAGCTGACTTGCAACATCCTCTCATATTCGCATCTTTAATAAAACATGCATCAGGAAGGTGTCATCCAGTCACCGAACCTCCAACAAAAGATCAAACAATCAAGGTTTTTATCTAATTAGTTTTACATTTATCGAAGTATCATTATCCCACATTAGTCTTTTTTTGTTGATGTTCTGCAGTTAAATTATTAAAGATTAAACTGCAATTGAAAATGACTGTTTGCCACCATGCTTGTCTCCACCACCCCAACTTTTTCTTTATGTGCTGTAACATTTAAGCAATGTTAATGCTTGTTTGTCAAACTGGATTTGTTCTCCAGCAGAATTCTTCCTGCTGTGTAGAGGATCTAAAACACTGTAGTTGTTTAAAGGCTTCTGTATCAGGTCTCATTCACTCACAGGTTCAAAATCTTGTGAAAATACATCATTTGCCATTTACCTGTTGACCAAACAGTCATATGTCACACTCGATTAAGAACATGAAACAACTATTAGATTGTCAGGCATTTAGTCCACAGGCTTGTATTTCCATCCAGTATTACAGCTGTTAAGTCCCATAATAATCCTGGTTATGTCAGCCTCTCATCTGCACTGACAGTAAAGTATGCCATGACGTGATGCCAAAAAGACGGTCTGTTTATGGGTACACTGGGTGGCTGAATATTATCAATGGGGCATCAGTCACTTTGCACCAGCCTCAACAATGTCTTGTGTGTTTGGCATCTCATTCCTCAGAGTTAAAGCAGGTTATATTTGACCTCTGCTTATGGCTGTATCATATCCTGCAATATCAGCTGCCTCTTCACTTAGACTCACACCTGCCAGATTTAGAAATAAGAGAACAGAGAAGCAGAGCCATCTGGAGAGAGGGGAGCTCGCATTTTGCAATCTCCAATACGCTGACCTTACTGCTCAAGGTAAAACTGTGTGGAAGTACCTCACAACAATATCTTCTAATTTGCTTAACGATACAGGCTCACAGAGAAGAATGGATGAGCTCTCACAGAGTGTCTTTCCAATAAAAGTCAAGAGTCATTCGGTAAATTATTGTGTCAGATGTACTTGCAGTTTATAGTTGTGCACATGGACAATGACTGTGATGCCATAGTTGTACTTTGTGTACATCTGTAAGTTTAAACCTTAGATCAGGGCCTAGACTGTATAATGATGGACATAGCAACAGTGATGTCACCATATGGTTTGCGGCCACTGTTTTAAAACCACCAGGTTGGCATTTGGCAGTCTGCTTCTTACTCTTTTTAAACTGGATCAAATGGGATAGGTCTGACTGAGAAGTCAAAGCTATTACCCATAGAGATACAGTAGCAACTTGCTGATTACAAGGTAGCCCCATCCTAAAACACAGTCTGCCTTATTGTCTATTTTACACTAAATGGGACCTTAATTTACAAAATAAATATCATGTTGTCTTTTAAAAGTTTAGACACTAGTCTGTAAGACCTTATTAGAAAAAAAATTACTGAGGTAACAGATCAAGAGAGAAGTAATGGCATGTTCTCATAAACTTTTGTCCAATCTGACTTCTTTTTTTTCAGCCAGAGGAGTCGCTCCCTACTGGCCATTTGAAAGAATGCAGGTTTAAGGATCTTCCACATTGACTTCACTTTCAGACTCTGCCGTTACGTCCATGTTTACAGTCTATGGGTCCTAATATTTTCTGGCTAAAATAAAATACTTTATTTGGTTTTGAACTTCTGCTTTTGAACAATGTATAACAAAAAGCATGACAACACTGTAGGACACAATGCTGATTATTTTGTAGTAATAGAACAGAAAATGGCAGCAACAGCATTGTAGCTGCTTTGCCAGCCAGATATGAGTTTCTCATTAAAACTTTCCACCACACCTTTCTGCCTCCTCCATGTGCAGAGTTGCGTCTCAGTTGTGTTAACATGTAAACTGAGTTAACACCTTCCTGTCCACAACACTTGTGAGGAATGTAGGTCAAGTAATCATGATGTGAATGCATATTTTCAAAGAAAGCTTTATTTCCTGTCCACATTCTATTATTGACTCACCAGTGTGGGCATAAATGCTCCATAAATGCTTTTTTAAATTGATTTTTAAAACTTTCTTCAGACCTCTGAGCCTGATAAAACATAGCCATATTCTACACTACTGAAGATTTACTTCAGTTGAGTGTGATGAATTTGTGGCAGAAACTGCAGTCCAACTGACAGGTTTGTGTTTCAGTCAAGCGGGCCACACCTCATTTCACTGATTAGTTCTTCCTCTCTGAATGAAGGCTGTTAATCAGTAAAATCAGCTGCTCTCAATGTCACATACTTCAGCACATCTACATTAAATCAAACATGCAGCGGGCCTTAGTGTTAAAGTGTTAGATTACAAATATTGGATGAGAATTTTAATTACAGTCTAATGTGATAAATAGTTCTCCATGTGTTGTGTGCCACTCTTACAAAGATTCCAGTGTCAGCGGCAAATCTCGGACACTAAACAGAGTAAGGGCAGACACTTAAGTGAATTTGTTTTCATGACAACTATTAAAGTTAATGTATCTTTAAGATACTTTTCAGTTTGAAATACAGTAGTTGATCAGTAAATTGAAGTTCCCTTCACACCACAGTTGATGGGGAGGCAAGAATTAAAGTCTGGAGCTGCAGGTCAGCTGTATTTACATTATATTTATATCCTCTTCTTCCAGTCTGTATCTCCCTGGCTGGGAGTACTGACCTTATGCCAACCTGAACTGAAAGAAGAAGGTGGTTAAAAGGGAAGCGAGTGTCCTCTGCTGAAGGAAACTGACACCAAAACATGCTGGTAGTCTCTGACAGCACCTGGTATCATGTTTGTCTGAGTAGAGGAGTATTACGAGGACACTGGTCCCCTTTAATGTCACAGTCTGTGTACCTCTATCCATCGCTAAGATGTTCTGCAAGTTATTCGATTCTTAGAATTTAAACGAAGATTAAGTTCATCAGCAATCCATGCTTCTGTGAAACTATAG